AATTCACTAAATTAAATATCATACACCGATCATTGCTGACTTATAATACACTTATAAAATAATAAAATTTATATTTTAAATAAAATTTACATTTTCAATAAAATATAACAATATTAACCATTGAATCACTAGTAAAAAAATTACTATTTTATTATCTATTTATAGTAATTTATTTATGAATTTTTGAACACGCAAGTACATTTGAGCAATTTAATAATGAAATGCACGTGGTTATCAAACCCATTCCATCAAGTCCATGATTGGATTAACAATTTATACACACACACACATATATATATACACACACACACACACACATATATATATATATAGAGTATAATTGGAATATTTAGAGAGAGAATTTTTCTTTTTTTTTTTTTTTTTTTGTATATAAACTAAAATTAAAGTTTTTAATTAGTATAGGTCCCAAATGAGTCAACATGATTCCTTGTTACGGATTTATATAATATGATTATAAATATTGATGAGAACAATTATACTAATTAATTCTGAAAACAATTTTAATTAAATATTTATTCGTCACAAATTTCTTTCTCATCGTAATCTGTTCCAACTATTAATGAAAACTCCCTTTTGCCGCCTCCTTTTAAAAGAAGAATAAAAAAATTAAAAAATTAAAAAAAAAAAAATTTGTAATCTGTTCCAACTCTATTCATAAAATATTGTATTTTATCTTTTAGGTCAAATTATTATTTTAAGTCCCATATTTTATTCTAATATTTAGTTTTATACATAATATATATATATGTATACACATAACTTTATGGCAAATACCTCTTTTGGGCTTGTGGATTCTGTAAAAACTGCAGGAGTTGATTTGAGAAGAAGAAAATTGCATGGAGTAAAGACGACCAGCTGCCTGCCGACCATGTGAAAGGGCACCGTAGGGGGATACCCATCAGAGGGCATCATATTATGATGCAGCACTGAAAAACAAGTGCGTATTTCCCACCAGATCAGCCTTAGAAGTTCGCTTCTGTCCATGAAGTTTTCTGAACGAGCAATGTAGCCAAAGTTCTCAACCAGCTGAACGCATCAAAGCGTGAAGCCGCTGTTAATTCTCTCTTCTACGAGGCCGAGACTCGTTCTCCAAAGAACAGGGCTTCACCAGGTGCAGGCTGAACTGTTAAACGCCAAGAGACTGTCGGATGCTTAACACCGGCCCACAGGCTATGCTTGCCACGCATGAAGACCCAACGTCTGCTTGTCGTTTAAGAGATTAGTCTGCACCTGCGTTGAAGGATCGAGATGAGACCCCCACAGCCGTAGACAGCGGAGACGAGTCTGGGCCTCGTGGGAGAGAGAATTAACGGCAACTTCTCGCTGTGATGCGTTGAGCTCGTAAAGAATCTTAAACCACATTGCTTGCTCCATCAAACGTTTTGTTTCGATTCATATAAAAAATGAAATAACATTTTAAATTTTCAGTCTGATCTAGTTTTTTTAGTTTGTATACGAAGATGCATACGCTCCGGAGCCCCTTCTAATGAGAAAACGACTTAAATATTAAGCAACTTATATATTATAAAAAAAAAAAAAAAAAAAATGTACGACAATGTTGTACGCAGACTTTAAGAAACTAATACCAAAAAAAAAAAAGAAGAAGTACCGGAACCGCCGTCCAGTATTATTAGTGTTAATGAGAATTTCAGTATTAGTATATATTAGTTTTAGATTCTGAATATGAAGCTTCTAATGAAAAGAATTTCCCACAAGGAATATCAATTTGCATGTCTGTATAAACTGTGTTTAATCTTTTATTTGGTGGAGAACTGTCAGGTTCCGAACCAAAATGAGGGAAAATAAAATTGTAAGAAGATATGTGTGTGTGATAGGAAAAAAAATGAGCAAAAGAACTCTACTCGGGAAACGATGCAGATCCTAGATTTCTTATATAAAAAAAAAAAAAAAAAAAAAAAAAAATCTCTATTCTCTTGTCACCCAATACAGCCTTCACCAAAACCCAAAAAACTAATGCTGACTTTGTATCTCAGATGTCAATCTCTCCAAAACCTATCCACATTAACTCTCACTCTCTCTGTGTTCGCCTGTATGGCTCCAAATGCTAGCTGCACAAAACAAAATAAAAAAGGAGATGAAGAGAAACACCGTCAAAACATGCAAGCAGCAAATTCATCAATAGAAAGAGACTAGTCACATAAAATTATGGTTGTTTCCTTTAAAAATGTTAAATGAAAAACAAATTAAAAATCACGAGCACTTAAGTTTACAAGTAACAATAAAAATATGATCATTAACGCAGGCTACCTAAAACAGATGAAGATTTTCTTTTAGGAGAGAGGATTGAGATAGGACGGGCAGAATCCATTGATAAGAAATAACCACAGGGGTTAATAGAGGCTGACTTAAATTTTGACCCAAAACCCATATGGATATGTCAAAGCACTTGTTTCAAAATACTGGTACCACCAAATTCAGACGGAAAATGCTCTAGTCTGCTAAAAGAAAGAAAGAAAGAAAGAAAAAATAAAATAAAATAAAAAGAAACACATCCTTTTTCTATTGTTAATGATAGAAAAATATAATACCCTTATTAGATAGAACTAAAGCATCTGTGCAAGTGATGTCAGGTAGTCAGAGCGAAGAAGATCTCAAGTATATCATGACACACAAGACAAGACCATTAAATGATAGACACGCACGCTCTACCGATCCAGTCAAAACCCCTTTCCTATTTTTTGCCTAATGTTTGATGAGTAACCTACAATGATGTTTGGTTTGATTTTTTTTTTTTTTTCTTTCTTCTTCTTCTTCTTCTTCTTTATGATTAAAGATATTTTAAAAGTACTCTTTGGTTATAACAAGAATTCACAAAGATTTGATAATATGTAAAAAGTATTAAAAAGTTGAAAAGCTTTTGGTTATAAACGAATTATTTTCTTTTTCCTAAAAACTTTTAAGAAATAGTTTTTCGAGAGTTGACTATATCGTCTAGTTAAAATATATATCCAAGGCATCAAATTCTAATCGTAATCAAACAGTACATTTGTAACATTACATTAGTTTTAGTTTTGGTTATATCCACTATCTAAAAGCTATGTTATTATAGTACTATTTTCTTAAAGAAAATCTTATGAAACACAAGAAAGAAGTAAGACCTGGGTTGATTTATTTTGTTGAAATATATTATACGGACGACAAGAGGGACGTCGAGTATATATATATATATATATAAAGGTAAATTTTAGGGGAGCTATCTCATACCACCCTTTACTTAAAAGGTTTAAAGGGAGTGACTAAAAATGACATCCTTCGGTCAGATAAGACAACAATTCTCTCGACCACACACCTTTGGCTTTATGCACTAATTTTAGCTTACAACTAACTGCGATGCGGACGCGTGTATCAAAAAACAAAACAGATTTCATAAAAACATCAAAACATTTTAATGAATGCCAAATCTGATGTGCAACGCGGATATCTTCATGTGTAAACTGGCATAAACGATAAAACCTTACGCTAAAGAAGGAAGGGAACACATACCTAGAAATACTTCTTCAATTAATGAAAGCGAGGAGACAAAACAAAATTTATAATTGAAAGCTTTAACATGATGGATCAACACTCCGGCCCTCCTCGCTTTCTGGCCTCTGCTGCTGCTGCGGCTGTTGATGTCGCCGCTGTTGCGCTGCTTGTGGTTGTGGATGTGGGTGTGGCTGAGGTTGAGGCTGTTGTGGCTGAAGCAGAAGCTGCGCCTGAATCTGGTGGTGGTGGGTTTCTGGTTGTCCTTGAATCTGATAATGGGTATCAAAATTTCCCACAGCCAAAGACGCTGACATGCCAGAAGAATTCATCTGGCTGAATCCTGTAGCAGTGACCGAACCGGCAGACGCCTCAAACCCACTGTTAAACCTCACAAGTTCTGGCTGTTGTGGCGGCTGGTGTTGCTGTTGTTGATCATAAACCCTGAACATGTTATGATGGTGCTGCTCTCTCACAGCCGTAACCGCACCCAAGGGTTGAGCTTCAAATATTTGCTGGGAATGATGTTGCTGTTGCTGTTGCTGTTGCTGCTGTGGCTCGCGTATGACCAGCTGCCCACCACCATGTGAAGGCACTGCAGGGATACCCATCATGGGCATCATATTATGATGGAGCATTGAAGAAGAAGGCGAGTTGCCCATGCCAAGAGGTTGTTGCGCTACAAACGTTGGGCCTTGAAGCATGGGAAGCATAGCCTGTGGGCCGATATAAGTCGCTAACTCTTTCTTGGCGTTTAACAGATCAGTCTGCACCTGCTTAAGCCTGTGTTGAAGGATCGAGATGAGACCCACACAGCCGTAGACGGGATCCCGGAGACGAGCCTCGGCCTCGTAGAAGAGAGAATTAACGGCATCTTCTCGCTGTGATGCGTTGAGCTCGTTGAGAATCTTAGCCACATTGCTTGCTCCAAAAACCTTATGTACATAAGCGAACTTCTGAGGCTGATCTGGTGGGAAATAGGGTGCAAATACGCACTCTTGTGTGCATTTTCGTCTCTGTAACTTGCACGCAGCGCAGGGTGTGTTGGCTGATGACATTTTCTTCTCTTTCCAATCTAAAAAAATTACAAATCAGAATTATTAATTTTATATATTGTTCCATTTAAAAAAAAAAAAAAAAAAAGACCATTGAAATGGGGAAACACGGAGATCAATGCATGAAGAATTCAGGGAAGCTTCCTTTGCAACCTAAAAATAAAGAGAAATAAAAGATTATAGCTCCATTAAAAGCTTTCTCATAATCAAAAGCATGACATTATTGCAGTTAAGAGACCGATACGATAAGTCTTCGAAATTTATTTATTTTTTTCAAAAAACAAAAAGAAGATTCGCATAATCGAACGGTGAACTTGAAATGGAAATCAAAGAAAAGGAGAACAGACGGGGAAAATTATATAGCGGGTATTGCCAACCTCCAAACATGGCTTCACATGCACATGTTTTCAGTTTAAGAGAGAGAGAGAGCGACTGTAGAACAAGAAATAGTGATCTGGTAACTAATGGGAGTAAATTACGAGAAATGTAAACAAATAAAAATGCCTGCAATCAATCAAAGCGTCTCCAACAACTCCTCAATCTCTCTCTTAGCCAACCGTATACTTCATCGTCGTCTTGAAATGCAAGAAACTCTCGGTCTGCACTAGATCCGTTTTGCTTCCTCATATATTATATACATATATTTTTATTTGGAAAATGATATCTCCTAAATCTTCAAATTTCCATATCCAAACAGGAAGATTATTTCCCTTACCCGTGGATATCTGCCAAATCAAATCCTCAAAAATATTTTTTAATTTCAAAAAATAAAGAAACCTAACAAGAGAGGACTTTCAAATGATATCGAAATCTCATCTCCGATTACCTTCGATTTCGTTTGAAGAAAAAACAATTGATCGAGATCACGGTCTCTCTCTCTCGGCGTCTTGAAAGTCCATAAAAGAACACCTGCAAGAAACTAACGACGACTCAGTTTAAGAGACGGAAACGTCGACGTTTTCACTCTTTCCGCGATCATTAACTAACCGCTGGAAGACGATAAAGCAAAAAAAAAAAAAAGAAAAAAAAAAAAAAGAAAAAGAAAGCCGCACCTCAGATAGCGAGCGAGAGAGAGAGAGAGAGAGAGAGAGAGAGAGAGAGAGAGATAAAGAATAACGCCCTCTGGTCTAGGGCTCGAGAGTCGCAGCGCCTCGATCCGATCTTTTGAGTTTCACGATCCCAAACAAAAAATAGGAATGGAAATGATCAGATAATAAAAAAATGAAAAATCTCTGCAGATTTTAATTTATATTTAAAAAAAAAAAAAAAGATAGAGAGAGATTTGTGAGAGAGACGAGATAAACAGGAATGATGACTTGAAAAAGGGGTGAAGGAGGCACTTACATGGTGACAACGTCTGTTTTATAGGTAGAATCTCCAACCGTTGAGATTTGGCGTGTGCGCTGATAACCGTAGGATCAAATTTCCGTGGTTTCTTTTACCTTTTTTTGGCTATCATTAAAATATAATCCCCTTAAAGGATTACCTTATTATGAATAGTCTCTGGTTTCTATAATAACCTATCTTATTCCCAAAATACCCTTTCTATGTAGATCTAAAGTATATGAAAAAAAAGTGTTTTCCTCTTTATCAATCTTCGTAACATTAATTTATCATGTGATACATTTCATATTGCTCTTCTCTTTTACTAATTAATTTTTCATGCATATTTTATCGCGTCTCTACTAATTTAAAAATACCCTTAAATTATAAAAAAAAAAATTATATTGAACTTTTGAGTGATATGTGTAAAAGTTTTTACCTAAAAAAAACAAGTGCAATATTTTATTGAAATTATTGTGCTACAAATGTTACTAATTCGATATTTTATTGAAGTTATTGTACATTAAAAAATAAATAATCGAAGAAAATAAGTAATTTTTTAATATGTAGAATTATTACTTTGCAAATGTTGAAGAAAATTGTGGGTTATGTTTTTTTTTTTCTCAAAGTAAAAAGGACAAAGAGAAAAACATATATAAGTTGTTTACAAAAAATAAATATATTTTTGAGAAAATTATAGGAATATATAATTAGTTGTTACGAGTCATTATTAATTTGAATACTACCATATTATAAAAATGTTCTCCATCAAATAAAAAACAAAAGAATCTAAGTACAAGAAGAATTCTTTGTACAATAATTTTATTTGTCTTCTACCACTTCGCAAAACTATTTAGCCCCCCCGGTATGACCAATCATATATTATATATTATAAGTACATAAAATTGACCCAACAATATATATGATGTGATTAAATTAGGATATAAAATTAAATTTATTAAACAATTGGAGATAAGTTATGTAAAATATTAAGGGAGGGCATTTAGGTAATTATACCGGACTTGGGTACAGCGCGATTACCATTTTTGTGCAGCACGTCAAAATGCAGCATGGCATGCGCGCAGCGCGTGAAAGAGTAAAAGAGGATAACAGCGCTCTGCCTCCGTGCACCTGACCCGTTATGATGCATCCAGTTGTACTTTTCTAATTCATGAGGGGTAATTTCGTAAAATTGTGTTCCTCATCGATTTTCTCGTGAGAAACTCCTCCTCCTTCAACCTTCTAAAGCATCAGCGCGCACGATTCACGAGGGAGAAAGGTGTGGGGGAGGGGGGGAAGAGATGGATCAGTGGAGTGACCTGCTATTCCCGGTCAGGGCGTCACGTACGGACAATCCACCTGCGCACAGTCGTTTCGATTGACCAGTTTCGAGGTACATTGATTTTGAAGTGACTGAACCTTAAGCTTCTCTGTCTCTCCATGAAGTGATGGATGGATGGATGGAAGAGATCATGTCCGTTACCGGCTGATGGTGAATCAACCTCTCTCTCTGGTCATAAACCGCCGGCTGGTTGACATTTTCATTCCTTTAGTTTACTTTTTTCTTCTTTGCTTAACTAAGAATTTTTTATACTTTCGAGATTTATAATTATTTTGTAGAAAAGTTGGAGCTCAATTTTATATATTCAGCATGTGACCGACCTTCGACATGAGAGTATTTGAAGCGACCACACGTGTGGAATTTGGTGAGGAAACGTGTGAGATGCACTATGACGCCATTGGTATAGTACCTTCTTGCCGGTCTCTGTCTTTCTGTATTTTGGCTTTTTCCTAGGGAGGAGACGGAGGAGGAGGGGAAAATACGAGAGGGAGAGATAGTGGGACCCACAAGTAAGGGGAGACAAAAAGGAAGGAAGGAAGGGAGAAGAAGAGGTTTGAATTTGACAGTGGCGTGGAACTGGTCCCTCTTCTGGCCGCGCTGGCTGATGGCTCACCTCGCTCGGTCCCTGCATAATTTCTGATCTGCTGGGCGTTGTGGCGAGACCACTGACTGCCTGCGTCCCCAACCCACCGCACAGAGCCTGCGCGTTTGGTGAGCATTTGCGTGAGCATAGATTCATTTTCATTTATTGATCACTGAATGCAACAAGTCTAGAGATAGAGAGAGAAGAAGCAGATCAGTACATATGTGGAGAGAGAGAGAGAGAGAGGAAAATGGAGGTACATATCGATTATGATAATTACAGAGACGGAAGATTATATGGATTTGTAAAGATATGGTTTCTTTCTTTCATCATTTTGGTGGTAAGTGCTTAACAAAAATGGATTTTATAAAAGGACGTACTATAGCTGGGAGATGCTTAGTTAGTAAGTGCTTTTTGGTTTGCCTCTGCCATGGCATCCCTTTTTCTCTCATTCATGTTTTCTTCCTTCCCTCTTTTTCAGTAATTATTTAGATCCCCAAGACTCTACAGAAACTTTTTTTTTTTTTTTTTTTTTTGTTTCTTCTTTTCCCACAACTTAAACACTCTGATATATAAGTATATAGATAAAATGAAAGTATGTAATTAGGGATCTTTACGTATCCAACTATACACTTGTTCTCATGTTATTCTCTTTTGGAACAGAAATTAATTTGGGTTTGGAGTGATTATTGTATTCAGTTTTTCCATGGATGATTCGGTCAAGATGGTTAGAATTCATAATTGTTATCTAATTATTAAACTTAAGGTTTCTAATTATTAGATCTAATAGTAGTATTTGACTATCTAGTTTAATATTCCCCTCCACCAACCTGAATATTTCATAATTAATGTACTAACTAAATCTGAAAACAGGGTTTTTTACACATTAGATTAAGTGTTCTAAAGGTAGTAAATGTTGAACATGGTGTTTGTTAAAACTTGTTATCTACGTAAACATGCATAACTATTGTATTTAACATCTTCAACTACTCTCTTTAGTCACTTAAGTCAATAATTTCTCCAATTAAGATTAACATTAACAATTATTTATTTAAGCAACTTACTTCTCTGCACATGTTAATACATATTTAGTAATTAAAAAAAAAAATGGTGATATATCAAATGCATTCTAATCTATTATGTTTTAAATCAAATCCTATTGGAGCCAGGTACATAATGTGTTATTTAATTGTGAAAAAATTTCAAACTTAACTCTGATACTCTATATATAAAAAATATTTTAAATTTTTAACTAAAATAACATATGTATAAATTGAAACACAATTTATACACACACACACATATATATATATATATATGTATATAAATCAATACATATAAAATTTATATATTATAATTATAGGTGAGTTTCATATTTTATAAGGTTTATATCAAATTCAACCTACTGTCATCCTTAGATATAGATATGTGTGTGTGTATATATATTTATTAAAATCTTAAAAACAGTATACTTAGCAATAAAAACATGTTTACAAATATTAAAGCTTCCCCCGACTTTGAAAATGTAAACTAGATATAAAAAGATTGAGAAAGTACGGAAAATTGATTGGTAATGTTGAAAGTTTTGAAAGGTAAAATGGGATAATGACTTTGCTTGATGACCACACAACCTGCCATTTGCATGCAAATCACCTATATTTTTGTCTCTTCTATATATATATATATATATATGTGCATATGTATGCGTGTTATTTTTATTATTATTATTAATTTTTTTCGGCTAATATATTTATATATATATATATATTGTGGGTCTTGATTTTTCTTGGGGTCAGGCGTTTCTCACGTGCATGGATTTGACATGGAATGCCCCAAAAGCAACTTTTTCAATTTAATAAATACATACTGATGAATATTCTGATGTGCCATCATGCAATCTGTCTCCTGTTGTTATAAATGCACCTCACCTGTCGCTTATATTTAATACATATATATATATGGTTCGTATTTTTTATTATTAAAATAAAGTTTGAAACATTCATTTAATTTTTGTTGAAATTAGTTTATATCTCAATTTTTAGTTAAATTAATCTATGATGTATTTTTTAAAAAAATTTGAGTTACTTTTTTTTTTTTGTTAATAGAAGTAAACATCGTTAATTTAAAGTGTTACGTGTTAAATATCATATAATGTTTGACATAATACTTAAAAAATATGAATATATTTTAATTTAGATTGATCTAAAAACAAGAACACTCATTGATTGACTGGTACGAAAAAACTCATTAACTCATTTATTAGTTCTTTTCTCTACCATCAAACATGCTAAAACCAATATATCATTTTTGTCTCTTTACAAGATTTTTATGGCAAGGGCTAGCCAATAGGGCTCTGGCGAGAGCAATTCAAAGGTACGGAGGGGAGAAATTTGATGGCAATGACGAAAATTACTATATACGGTGCACCAAACCAAAGAGCGAAAAAAGAATAATTTAAAAATATGACTTGGTGTAACTGTTCGATGAGAGAAAGCATATTGTTTTAAATTTATAAATGTATAAAAAAGAGAAAACAACAAACATAAAAGAGAGCCAAAAGAACTAAGCAAATGTAGCTACAAATGGGAGGCATTTTTGGTTTGGAAAATAAAAGAAAAATAAGAGAAGAGGGGAGGGATTGACAGCAAAAGAAAAAAGAAAAAAAAATTGATTTTTATGAGCAAAAAACAAATGAGAGTTTGGAAAAATATTTTTATCTCTCTACATAGTTTCTGACTCTTATTTAGGAAGATTGCAAATTTCATTACTATTATAGATGACAGATGTGACTGGTTACGTCTAAATATTTATTCCATGTTTATTGGATTAAATTGAGCTTGTCTTTAAGGGTGGCCACAGTTTGAACTATCCTTGTCAATACTTGGTATATCGACATCTACAAATTACTTTTTCTCCTAAGTATCGATTCACCATCCTTGCTTTTAAGTATGCAAGTTAAGTTTTTATTTTATTTTATACGTGAACTAGTTTGAATATGTTCAAATTTATATTTTTTAATATCATATGTCATGTAACATGACATTTGATATATACTCGGACTAATAAAAATGTAAAAGTCCAGAACTTTAAGAAATAGAAATAATGAATTAAGTAATTATAAGGGTAAGTAATTTAGAGTTTAAAATTTATATTCATTACACAATAAATTATGGTGACCAATAAAATTACGGTAATACATTTTTTAGGTAGTTTCAGTGACGGAATAAATAAATAAATAAATGCAACTAAAGATCCAATAGAGTTAACCTCCACTGGACAACTCTAATTAGATGCAGAAGATAACTTTTGTTCGCAACCTTCTTACAGTTCAGGATCTGAATTTTGATCTTCCTAATCTGAAATGATTAAATAAGGGAGATGAACTACATTAATCCAGCAAGAATATTACACTTAATATAAATACGGAAAATTAAATGTTGGTAAAAATCGTCAAACAGCTAATTAAACTATTATTTCTTTTTAAATCAATTCGTTTAAGTTAAAAATTATTATTTCATATTTATCCTTACGAGTTTTTAAAACCGACTTATAAAAATAATAACCCAAATAACATTTTTATTACAGAATTAAATGAATAATAACAATAAAGTTATATTTTTACCTACTTACCAGTAACTCTAGCGGTTCATAAGGACGTCTCCCCTACATGTAAACCCAATATCTAAATTATCAATCAATCAGTCGTCCCTATACCCCCGTTCGGTAATGAGCATCAAATATACCATCACCTCGATACTTCGTCCGATATGAGAGTATTTTATACATCCCAATCTTTTCTGGTATAAGACTTCTCAGCGCCGTTCGACTGAAAAATTGTCTGCGGTAGGGTTTTCCTTATGCACCGGGTTCATACACCATTCCCCAGCTCGATAAGCTCTTTTATAGACATGTTCACATCATTCACTAGTTACCAATTACAACTACAATCCCATTTCATGATTACAGGGGAAATAGAACGATAATTTAGTAGACTATATAGTTTAAAATTGAACATTTGGTGATAAGCATAATCAAACATTTATTTAAAATCAATCAAATAATAGGGATAAACATTTAAGTAAATTAATAAATAAGAAGACAATTAAATTAAACCTATGAATTTAAAAAATATGCAGTAAACAAACATTAACAGTCTAGTAATAATTGAACAGTATCAATAAAATAAGCAATGTCATATAAACCAGTTAACGGTTCCACTGGTGACCTGTAATTGATTTTAAGATTTTCTTAATTTTACAAAACACACCGTTATTAATTATTTAAACTTTACTTTACAATAACGAAAAAAAAGTGAGAGATTCTTACCCTGAATCGGTGTTCAAAACATCGTTCTATTTTCTACGCCTCTCAGTGATTCCTTGGTTTCCTGAGTTTTTTTTTTTGTGAAAATCAAAAATACGCATCACGTATTTTAAAATATCCCAAAAATACCAAAATAAGTATTTTTAAACTTTTTCGCCCGGTTTAGGGTTCCGGCGCAATGGCACCGCTGTGCTTTGGTGTTGGCTCTGCTGCCCACGGCGACATTTCCTTTCGATTTGGTTGTTTTCAGCCAATTTTGGTTATTTTTGATCGGTTTTGCATGAAAACCTACGAAAAATAAGGTTAAGGAGCCTCTATCAGCATGAAAAGGAAAAAATCAAGACCGTACCAGTAAGGAGGGTTCTCCGGTGCAGCGGCTCTATCGTTCCTCTCTTACGGTAAGAGTTTTTCCTTTTAGCTAAGCTGCATCAGAAAGAGACGAGGAACACATTGATCAAAGAATCGAAGGAAATGAGATACAAGAAGGGATTCATCGGAGGAGTTTTTGGTTTGACGTCATGATGGCTCGGTCGAGCTCCGCTCGTATTTTTCGGCTCACTTGTTGGCCTTTCGGCTCTCATATGGGCGTGGAAAGGTTCTAAATTCAATTTCGAGCAAAACAAGAAAAAAAAATTTACCTTTTCGACGTCAGTAGTGGCTCCGGTGCGATGACAACAGTGTTAGTCTCATTCTTCAGTGTCTGGTTCACTTTGAGGTTGTTCTTTTTCTTTTTTTTCCGATCACCTTTATGGCGGCTAATGTTAGGGTTCTTTGCAAAGAGGAGTTTAAATATTCATCTTCATTGTTTGTTCGAGGCAACGTGACCCATCCTCAATAGTTGGATCTCCCTTATTTGGAGAATTAATATGGATCACACGATCTGATCAAATTCAGTTGTTCGATCACGAGAAAACAGATTTGGGTCATCCGTGCGCGGGAGGTGCAATCTAGGCCATTGGATTCGCTTCCACGCGGATCCACGCGGATCGCCCGCGTAGCCTCTCGTATGGACGCATGTTCTCGTGTCTGCCACACAGCGCGTGGTGACTGGCTGCGCTACTAACGTGGTGGTCCATGTGGCCAAACTTTGAAAAATTTTGTTTATGTACCAATTTTTCATATTTCTTTTCAAATGAGTCCTTTCTTATTTCTACTTTGGTCATGATTTTTAAAAATATTTTCAAATACATTCAAAACTCAATTTTCGTAAAAAAATAAAAATAAAATTATTTTAAATTATTTTTTTATTAATATTAAATTATCTTGAACTAAATTTATGGACTCGTGTATTACAAAAAAAAAAAAAAACAGCACATGTTAATAAATTTGACATATAACATACTAAATTAGTAGTTTAATTTTTATTAACAGTAAAGAACTAAATCAATTTTTTTTAAAAAAATAAAAAAATTTAATTTGATGAAAAATTAAGATAATGACTAATTTAAACAAACATTAAAAGTAAAAAAACTATAAGCTTAAAATTTATAGTGAGTTTTTCGGTCATTGAATAATAACGTTTTAAAATAATAAATGTTAGAATTAGAAATTAATAAAAACAATTTGAAGTTTTGACAATAAATATTATAATTTAAGAGTTGGAATTTATCACCACATAGTTCAATTTCTTAGTCTCCGCCTGCAACTCTGTCTTTCAATAAAAATGAAATACTGTAAGTGTAAGTTTAAAGTAAAAGTAGAAAGAAAAAAATATAAGAATTTTACGTAATATATCTATATTTACGGGTAAGACCGATAAAAAACGTATTCTACTATATAATTAGAATGTATATCACCGATCGATTAGCAAACCTAGTTATAGCAAGATTATTAAAATTTTTTATAAATAAAAACTTTATATTTAAAATATAATAAATATAAAAAAAAATGAAATGCAAATTATTATTTAAAATATAAATAAATATTACCAAAATTTAATGCATTATATATATTTTTTGAAATTTTATAAAAAAAAGTTAAATTATCTTTACTATTTGATTTATTTATTTATTTATTTGTAATTTTAAGTTAGCTTTCTATTCTTTTTTAAGATATCTTCACATTTTGATTTGATAAGTGAAGACAATCAGTAAGATTATGAGTTATCTCTTTTGGTCATTTTAAAATTAAAAGTTTGACAAATGATTAAAAAAAAAAGGCCATATAATGACTTTTATGTAATTTTTAATAGGGATAATTTCAAATATATATATATATATATGTATATGCATACAACAAAGATAGGCTTAATAGCACATATTAATTTAATTATTATTATTATTATTATTTTATGTGGGGCTTATGAGTTAGATTAAGTGTAGCATATGGGAAAATAGCATTATGTATATTTAATATATATGTACACATGTATATACATATACATATATCTGTATATGTGCACAGACAAAAATAAAAAAAAAAAATTTAAAAGTAGTAAATTCTTTAAGCTACTTAAAAGGTAGATAAATTTTTTATTTTTTTTAAAATAACGCATTTAATAATATATTAATTATGAAAACTACCCGGGTTTTATTATATATATTACTAATTTTAAATGAATGCCAATAATGTATTAATTAAATATATTAGAAAATATTAATTACAAGAAAATTAGAAATGAAGTACTTAATTATTTCTGTTAAATATTTGTTTATAAGAAAATTATATTAATAAATTTTAAATTAATGGATATTAATATTTTAATAATTATTTTTCAAATGAAAAGGAATAATGATTTAAGTGCAATCATTACAAGCCCAACAAGGCCCAAAAGCTTAAACCCCCTGATTCACAAAAACCCTCCCGTCCATCTTCAACGACGGAGCTCTGCACTCAACTCACAGAGCGGAAATGGCCAAGTGGTGGCGGGGCCTAACAACTAAGGTGCCTCACTGCGCTACATCCTTAACGCCCTCACCTCCACTATTCTCTCGAGCTTGTGCGTATCACACGATCCAAGCGATCCCTCGCGAGCTACGAGGAAGCGGAGTATCTGCCAAGGACCGAGTTCAGGGTCGGATCCCGGCTGTTGTATTTTCTCAGAGCCTCCTCGATAAAGACCCGGCAAACCGATTCGCTTCTAGGAAGCAGCTGCTGACAACAGAGAAAGATCAGATTCAGTCCATAATCAAGTCTGTACAACTTCCCTTCTTCTGCTCCACGACTTTCCCGCTCCAGATCCGCGCCGGTTCCGGGTCGTCTGTACTACTTGAATCCGGCAGAGTCCTCCCCATCAAGGCAAGGCGTTTTATATCTTTGTCTCTTTTTCTGTTTTTCTCCAGGAAATATTTGATATTTATTATTAAGAATTATTATTTCTTTTCGTGGGACTGGTTGATAGATTCACAGGAATGAAGAAACCGGGAAGATATTGAATTTGGTTTTTGTATGGGCCGATGAGGGAACGGAATTGAAGGTTGACGTTCCTGTAATTTTCAAAGGAATAGATAAATCTCCAGGTCTCAGTAAAGGTAAATATAATCTCTCTTTTATTCGATTCCCATATGGAATGTTTAACTTGTTCTTGTGATGGGGATGCTGCAAACATCAAATTGCAATATCAATTTATATGCCTGCGCACCATACTTGCTTGCTTTTCAGTTATCTACAGCTTGCTTTAGCATTTTCTTTGCTAGCAAGAGTTTAGAATTTTATATCTGAAAATTGTCTATTTTGTATTCTGTGCAAATCTTTTGGACAGAAAAGATGTTTTGATGCTCTATAGATTGTTAGGATCGTGGGTCCTAAATTCCCAATTTTAGTGCTGTGTTTCCTTTAATTTAGAGATGATTTTGTCACTATCAACCGTTAGGTTGAGCTGGCAGTTAGATGTAACCGTGCAGCTTAGAATGAGCTTTCTGGAACAAGAAATTTGCTGAGAACATTTTAGTAGTGTCCAGAGATAAAAATATTTCGTCGTTTCTGTGTTCGTAAGTGTGAATTAAGTGAGGTAGGTGATGAATTATCCTTTTAATTGTAAACATTAAATTGATAGAAAGGAGTTCAACTTAATTATTAATGTTGAATTTTTTTTTTCTTGAGAGAACAACGGTCAGTATATTAAGAAGGCACCAAGGAGCTGCCACCTAGTAACAAGAGATTTGGGAGAAGAAAAAGGATAATAATATATACAAAGAGCATAGTGCAACTCATATACAAGAGTATTTACATCTCTAGCAAAATCTCTATTAGGTCCCAAGATCCTCGTCTGAATAAAATGGTTGATCTTTTATTAAAAAACTTAGGATATTGAACCATGTATCCTTAAATCTATCAGAGCTTTCCTATTCCTCTCATTCCAAATAGTCCGAAGAGTAGCCAAGAGGATAAGTCTGATAGATTGCTTACCATTTTGGGTACCCTCCCAAGCCCAATTCTCATCTTTCATTGTGCATGAAATAACCCAGTCCAACCCCAATAATCTGTAAACCAGTGACCAAAGATGATGAGCAAAAGGACACCAGAGGAGGATGAGATTACAAGACTCTGCTTCACTTTTGCATAAATAACACTCATTTTTGAGAATCTTTCCCTCTTAATCAGTATATTCAAAGTGAGAATATGCTCCCACATTGTCTCCCATGCAAAAAAAGCCCCTCTAGGAGTCCCCTTCACTTTCATCATTAAAAGCATCTTTTCCTTCTCTTTCCAAATAATCCATAAGATGGTAAAGAAATGAGAGAGAGTTTTTCCTTCTCTTTCCACCCCAGATAAAATCCAAATGTCACTAGTGGCAGAACCAGTAATCATCTTACTCAACACAAGGAAGTCGAGCATTTCATAATGGGTGGGAGATGAAGTGGCAACATAAAAGAAAGGGATCGGGAGTTTTAACTGCCTCTTGCACAAATAACATGCAGTTATTACAGTCTTTTCCCTTTGCTCAGATTATCATCGATACAGAATCCTCCTCATTGTCTCTGAAGCAAAGAACACAATTCAAAGAGACACATTAAACTTTCAAATGAGCTTCCAAGGGATGACATCTCGAACAGTGAGGGGGATCCATGTTCAAGAATTTTATAGAAAATGAGCTGCTGGGATCTGGAACTTATTCATCAGCAGTGTGGTGAGATGCCGTACTGGGAAAGAAAATAAAGAATTCTAAAATATTCCTCTTTCTCCCAGGCATTAAGGTGCCTAAGAAGATTCCCAAAAACCATTGACTTGATGATACTGTGGCAGGCCTGCATAGATTTGTCTCTCTTTCTTTTTTCTCCTCTCCATCGAGAGCACACTTCAGGTTGCCACCATCAAACCACTTGTTTTTAGATGACGCTAGAAGGGATGGAGTAACAAAATTTATCCCACCTTGCTTTTAATGCTGTTCCATAAATCATATCCACGAGACTCTCCAAACAATTCGTTCCTTGGACCACTGTCCTCTTGCCCATGTTTGATTCTAATCACTGTCCGCAAAAGCCTTTCCTTGATAGATATAAATTTCCATGGTGGCTTCTTAATGGGAAAGGAACTGACCTAATTATTTATTTCAACATGAGATGGGTGTCTATTTTGTCAACCGTAGGCCAAATATTTATGAGCTGATCAGATTAGTTCTAGGATTATGACACATGGAGAGATAAAATTAAACATAATTTATCCATCATGAGATGGGTGTCTATTTTGTCAATTGTAGGCCAAATATTTATGAGCTGATCAGATTAGTTCTAGGATTATGACACATGCAGAGATAAAATTAAACATAATTTATCCATCATTACATATAAGTCAATTAAGATATTCTCGACAAAAGTTTAAATTAATTTTTTTAACAATTCCTCAAAGAAGTATGAATTCATTTACAAAGTCCCCTTTTATTTCATAGAATTATTCCAAATTATCATCTCAAAAAACTAAGAAAAAAAGGAGTTTTCTAATTATGGAACTAGCATGAAATGAATTTGATAGGGAATTGGATCAATGCAGTTAAGGACCATAGGATATGAGGAATTTGGAGATGAAATTGATAGTTTGCAGGGGGGGGGGGGGGGGGCAGATGTTTAAAACGTGTTTTTCATTTTTTTTTGTCTTTTCTCAAATGCTGTGGTTCAATTGCATATCCAAAAATATTGAATAATATCATGATTTAGTTCAACAATCAAATTCATTCTGAGGCGAACTTTTTATGCTCAATTTATTTAAGTGAGATAAAATTTTATTGTCGGTTTGCTGTAAACAAAATCTAATTCTATTCCGTTGTGGGAATTGAAGGGATATTGATGGGGTCTGTTCAAAGCAGGATTTCAGTTTACCTTACTTTCCTATCTTCGACCTTGCCTTTTGGAAATAATAAAGTAATTAGATAAATCATTTATTAATTGCTCAATTGCAACATAATTAATCTAGAAGAGAAAACTATTATTTGGGCCTATTCTATGATAATTATCTTATACAACTGTTTTGTGCAAGAGGTTTGACAAACTTAGAACAATAAATAGAACATTAGCATGACTGTTGGACACGGTTTTGTGTGGAAAAAAACAATTACCAACAGTGGTAAAATGTTTTCTATGCTCGGCATATTTAGTTTTATTTCTATGTTTGTCTAACTTTCCCTTGTCGCAAGTAATTTTTCATTTGCCAAATTATCATTGGGACCAAAGGAAATAGGAAATAGTATATATCTCCTTTTTCTCCAGTTCTATGGTTTTTGGAATTGCTGTCGTCTGTATCATTGTAATAAGTTCAGTTTGGTAGTTAAGATGTTTTAAGCTTCTAACACTTTCATAATCAAAGGTTTCTGCCTGGATGAATTGGTAGTTTCCACTTTCCAGCCTTAGGAATTAATTTTCATTTAATTATTTATTCCTTTCTTAATCATTAGAATAATCATGGTAGTTATATTTTCTGTTGGTACCCCTTTTCAATGCGCTAAATCTTTGTTAATTTTGTACATATTGGAGTAACAGGGGGCTACTTGAATAAGATAAGAACTACCCTGAAGTATCTTTGTCCTGCTGAACACATTCCTCCGAAAATTGAGGTGGATGTGAGCAATCTTGATATTGGAGACAGGGTGTTCATGAGTGACATTGAGGTTCATCCTTCCCTGAGGCTTCTAAGTAAGAATAACAGCATTCCAATTTGTAAGGTGGCAGCCACCAATTTGGAAGCCTCAAAACCTGAAAAACACGATGGTGCGGAAGATGGAATCTCTGAGTAGCTCCAAAAATTTGACAGAGCATGATTCAAAGAAGTAGAAATAAATCTTTCTTTTGGTTGTGTAGAAAATTTTTTGTTTTGAAGGTGGTGTTTAGTGATTCGCAAGTAGATAATACTTTTTCTCATTGCGATGACTTGGAACAAGTGGGGTTCTTGAACACTGTTTGCAGGTATGATCGCAGCATTACTACATTTGTTTTGTAGTAGTAGTCCCTTAAAAACCCCACGGGTGGAGTTGGTTTGAATTGAAAGGTGGTTGTTGACTAGGAGAATTATGCATTTCCTTAGTAATAATACAACTTCGTACTATGATAAATTTAAAATAATAATATAATTAATTATATACTGAGACGAACATAGAAAGCTAAAATTCCATAAGAATTGACCAATAGTATTCTCTTAAAACAGCAAAGGAAAAACTTTTATTTATTACTGCTGAATCTGTATTTTTTTTTTTGCTCTGTGTGGCCAAATACGACGTCGTTGTGAAATGATAGCAATGGGCTGGACCGCCCGTTCCTCGTGTGTCCGTTTTGACCGAAATCGGGACTCTTGACATCAAAATTATTTGACCAATTCATTTAGGTTTTGACCGCTTGACAATTTTTTTAATGGTTTGTTTTCGAGACCGGTTCAATCAGAAGATTTGATAGTTATGATTGCAAACCATAAAATTATTATTTAATATAATATAATATAATAAATAAATAAATAAATAAATAATATTAATAAACTCAAATTGTTTCAAAAGAGTTTAGAGGTAGTTTGGTCAATACGCTCGAAAGTCGGTCCTAATAGAGCTTTTAGATCAGCCAAACCCCAAATACACTGTTTGACTTTTTGAGGTATGCTGCAATTTTGTCTTGTAAGTTTCCACGTAATTTGTAAATAAGTATATAAATTATTAAATTAGAATTTTAATAAAATTAAAAATTTAGTTGGAACGAGTTTTATTGTGTTTTGTGAATCTTTTTTTTTTTTTTTAATTTTTAATTTTAAAAAAAAGTGACTTTAGAGTTTACAGTTTAGAGAATAACCAACTAATTAACTAACAGCTGAAAAATAGAAAACAGTTTTCACACCCACCCTTTCTTTTTCAACCACACCAACACTTTCCTTCACATTAACCGCGTTCACCTTCCACCCCCTTCTCTGTCTCCGTTCCGTTTCCCTAAACCCCCTCCCTTTACCGTTAGTTGTTACCCCTTTCATGGATCTTCTCCATTTTCTTCTCTTCCCATCTCCCCTCCTTCGTCTCAACATCTTAAATAGCTCCGTGTTCTTTCGTCATACTTTTTGAGTTTCCATACCATGATTTCTGGCCATGCGCTGGTTGCAGAACATTTCCTTCTCCTCCCCTTCTTCTTCTTCCTCTTCCGTCTCATCATTATCTGCCAAGCATTCGTCCTCCTATTCTCCTGATCACTTTTCCCCCTCTAATACACCCGACCGTCGCCATCATCACAGCCACAGAGGTGGCGGCGGCACCGGCTTCAGATTTGGTCACCGTAAGCTCACGCGACAGAGGAAGTTACGTCACCTCTCCGACCATGATGTCTCCGCTGCCCAGATGAAGGAACTCTCCCGCTCTACCAGCGCATATTCCACCACCTCGGGTTCTTCCTCTGCGGTGGCTATGCCGTTGCCCCTGCCTCTCCCCTTGCCCGAGCCCGAAGCGGAAACACTCGTCTCCTCTCTTCCTTCCCCCAGGGATGTCGGCCTCGGTAAAGGTGTGGATGACAGAGACAGAGATAGGAATAGGAATAGGGATAGGGATAGAGCAGATGGGGCTGGAGACGGAGTTCTTCCAAATTCTCCAATAGCCAGGTAAATTTTTCCTTTTCCTTATATTTGTTTTTGAGGTTCTTATGTTTCTCTGTTCTTCCTTCTTTTTTGAACGAGGGATTTATAACTTTAATGTCGAATAGATACGTCCTGAATGTAGTAATAAGAAGATTTGGAATAAAAGTCTGGAGAGATGTATTAGTCATCATCTTTTCTTTTGCTAGTTCGGTTTATTCCTCGCTTTTCTGTAACTTAATCGTGTCTGCTCTTCGTTATGATAATTTCCCTGGATAGAACGGACTTATCCAATCTTATGGCTTCAGTTACATGTGCAAATATTTTCTTCAAAGCTTTTATCATTCCCGGTAATATGTACTGCTGTTCAAAGAAAACAATGTTTAAACAATACAGCAAAAATAATATTCCCGTATGATTAAATAGTTTAGTTATTCAATTCCGGGTCCGAAACCTCACGTCTTTCATCTTATTGTATTTGACTCATTTGTTCATGCATCTAGAATCATTGACAAAGGCACTGTAGAAGATGAGTTTATTTCAGGAGGTTTATGTTCATCATGCATGGAACTATTGTTTATTGATTGTAAGTTAATCTTTATTGACTTACATCATCATTGTGTATTTTCCTGTGGTGATACCAGGAAGGCAGCAGAACATTCAGACATGAAATCCCGTGTCAAAATGCATAAAGATCAGACTAATATGGCGACCTCTGGGAATACGTACTGGATAGATGTTCCTACTAGGAGTGCTCCTACGAGCCCCTTCTCAAGTCCTGTATGCAGTCCTCAGAGAAAAAGTCTCAATGATATATTCCCATACCATAAGGGGGGCGTGGCTCCTTGTAGAAATCAAGGATGGTCTGCTCCTGAGATGCCAACCACAGATATTCCAGGGTTCCTTTCGCCATCATTCTTTGATTATGCTGGGATTAGCACTGATAATTCTCCCATTCACAGTCCAAATAGAAGCCCACGCCTACATCCTGGTAGCCTCAGTGGGTCTTCTTCACCAATGCATCCCAGGTTATCCATAGATCCCTCCTTCACCCTGCGTGAATGTACCAATGTCCACCCGCTACCTCTTCCTCCAGGAGCTTCGTTGCCTTCAACATCAGCTCCCATTTCCCAAGCTCCATCTAAGCCAGAATCATTGCCTATGAATTGTCAGTGGCAAAAAGGAAAGCTTATTGGGCGTGGTACATTTGGGAGTGTTTATGTTGCCAGCAACCGGTATCTAAGTTCTGCTTATCTTTTATGCTAGTTCTTTTTGGTTCATTCATTTTAAGTGAGATTGTTTTGTATTACAGAGAAACTGGAGCATTATGTGCAATGAAGGAAGTTGAGCTACTTCACGATGACCCAAAGTCTGCAGAATGTATAAAGCAGTTAGAGCAGGTTATTTCCGGCATTTATAATAGTCAACAACTTATTGAGGAGATTTGTGTTACATAAATATGCATGCAGAGGATTGATCACATGCATATTATCAATATGATTTTCTTCTTGGCAGCAGGTTATGCACCCTATTACATTTTTAGGCAGTATAGATTTGTTTCTCAACGGCATTCTCTTACTTCGTCCATTTGTTTCAGGAAATAAATGTTCTCAGCCAGCTGCAGCATCCAAACATTGTGCAGTATTATGGCAGTGGAATAGTGCGTACTCTTTCATTTGCATGTTTAGATATTCACAGTCCAGACGTACTTGCTAGAACATCACTGATAATTCGAGTTATAATATAGTTTTATGCATTTGCAGGCTGATGATCGTTTCTACATATATTTGGAGTATGTCCACCCTGGTTCAATTAATAAATATGTCCGTGATCATTGTGGAGCTATGACGGAGTCTATTGTCCGCAATTTTACTCGTCATATCCTTTCTGGCTTGGCTTACTTGCATAGCAAAAAGACAATTCACAGGTAAAAAAACATTCTTGCATGGAAATTTAGAAGCAGTTTAAGCTTGAAGTTATCATTGCAACTTATAATAATACATTGAATCAAGTGGGATATTGTACATGTTTGAAGACTTAGTAGTTTGTTTCTCTTGTACATATAGGGACATCAAAGGGGCTAATTTGCTCGTTGATGCATCTGGAGTTGTCAAACTTGCAGACTTCGGGATGTCTAAGCATGTGAGTTTTGAGATTTGATCTGCCAAAACTTTCAGCAAGTTAATATATTTTGTTCACGTGGAACTCTTCAAAACTTAGTTACATGTATGTTAGAGATATTATAATTATCTGTTGCTTCTTTCCATTTTTCTTTTTTGTATTGATGATTCCTGTGCATGAACCTAGAAATACTTAACTGAAATTTACCATGCAAAGTTTGGTTAGGATTTGACCAAGATTTTTGTTTGGAGGTTGTGAGAGTTTATGGAAACATGACACATTCTAGGAATTTATTTTCTGCACCTTTGATGTGTATCTCCCCTTAAAAGGAATCATGGCACTGTACTTTGAATTGATTTCATTTGACTTATCTTCAATTTTGATGCCCCCATATATGGAAGCACAGAATTCAGTTAAGTTGTATCATCAATTAGCTATTTTTATGTATGGTAATATTAGTTGGATGTAACCTAGAGGTGATTACAAGTTTAGTGGTAATCCGAGATCATATATAGATATCTTCAACTATTCTTATCATTTTTATTATCACACATTTCTACCTTTGAGCTCAATTTTTTATTTCTACATTGGATATAAATAATTTGGGATTTTATATGTTTCCCAGCTTAGTGGACAAAGAGCTGACCTCTCTTTAAAGGGAAGTCCGTATTGGATGGCTCCAGAGGTATTTTCTTGCTCACATCACTAAGCAGTGACCCAATAGTTCTATCATACTGATACAATTTGCTTCTTTACAGCTCATGCAAGCTGTGATGCAGAAAGATAACAACTCCGATCTTGCATTTGCTGTGGATATTTGGAGTTTGGGTTGTACAATTATTGAGATGTTCACTGGGAAACCCCCTTGGAGCGAGTATGAAGGGGTAAGTACCTTATGTTTCCGAGTGTGCTTCGTCATGAAATGCAATTTGTGTTACAAAATTATTCACATGATGATTGAGATGGATTCTTATTGAAAGAAAATCATATTGGATGGTGTGATGTTGTCAGTATGTTCAGCTAATTCTTGGTCGCTTCCCAGAAGACTCGGAAGTTGTGGTCAGTTATATTGGCATATTGGATGAATTGCAACTATTTTGTTGCTCCAAATGAAATCTGGCGCAGGCCGCATTGTATTATTGTTTTCTTGTTATTTAATTTATATTTCCAGATCTTTGCATGCGTCTTTTGTGGGTAAGATTTCTGATGGTTGCATAGAAAGAATGTCCATGGGTGGGTTTGCTGCCTTCGCATGTGCCATCCTCAGAGGGATGAACATCACTTTGTGCCATGTGGCATGTCCAACTGTAGTTTGGACTGAGCAATCCAAAGTGAAACATTCATTGAGACTAATCAATTTATATGATTCAATTTATGCTGAATTCTTTTTGTCTTGTTTTGTTTGTGAAGATGTGTAAGTATCTATCTTTTGCAGGCTGCAGCAATGTTTAAGGTTATGAAGGATACACCACCTATACCTGAATCATTGTCGCCTGAGTGCAAGGATTTTCTGAGGTGCTGTTTCAGAAGAAATCCTGCTGAAAGGCCATCGGCTTACATGCTACTGGAACATCGATTCTTGAAGAACTCACAGCAGCCAGATGTCTCACCTTCCTCCCAGTTGCTTACCGGAACGAAATTGATGGTAAATATATGCAAAAAAAAATTATTTTTGGTAGAGTTTCATAAAATTATGATATACATCTAAAAACTGTTGTTGTGTGGACAGGATAAGACCCCAAGTCCAAGACGCCAGTTGGAATTTAAACTTGATCCTTTGCCAGTATTTCCAAGTGCGAACAAGGGGAGTGCTGATAGGTAAAATTTAGTACGTTCCTAACTACAATCTGCGTTTACCACCATATCTGTCTGGCACAACTGTAAAGTTTAATAAATTTATAAAAATTGGTAATTCTTGACTTGTGCTCACCGGCTACAGCTTCATGGATTCTTCTTTTTCTTCAGTGAGATTGGACAAAGATTTCAGTATGAAACTCCCGACTTAACATTGGCCTCCCGCTATTCCCCACGTTCTACTCTTGAGGGTCTTCCTACCTCACCTTCTCCGCGATCAGCAATCCACACTCATCATCTCAGCATATCTGCAAGCATATCCAATAATACAAGTTGTTGTACGAGAAATACCCATTTGGGGAGATAACACAAGGAGAGGAAGTAGATTGTTGTTGCTGACTTCAAATGGATGGTCTAGTGTATATATATGTGACTTGCTGCTGCTGCTGCTGTAGATTCCGCCGGCGAAAATGGGTATGTCTTGATATCATTCTCGCCAATTCCGGACGTTTCTGAAAGCACATATATTTTTTTCCATCCTATTCAATCCTGGATGTAACCGGGGCTTGGAAACATAGAAGTAGGTTTTTTGTATGCATACACTATTAACAAATGGAGAGCTTGTGCAAGGAGACAAGAAGCGCTCTCTTTATGTATATCCACCCAGTTTTAATGCTTCCAAGTCTTTTTCCTCCATGTAAGTTGAAGCCTGAATGAATTGTTAGTTCTTCTTTTAGGGGTACATATCAGGTTTATGATGTTACCAGGAGCACTCTGAAAGTTACAACAACAGGTCTTACTTTCTTGTATTTTTTGGCTATACACTTGTGTAGCATATATAGTATATTTAGAACTATAAATTCTATATTTTTTTTTTTTTTGGGTCTAAGTAGTTAAAAATTATTTAAGGAATTTTGTTTCATTTCTTTAAATAAATGAGTGTAATAAGAACTTGGAGAAGATTAGTGTATGAATTGATATATATATATATAATATATGACTCTTGCTCATAATTTATTTATTTTTTTTTTGAAAACTATAAATGAATGATATAATTTTTGTTGGCATAATCATGTTGGTAATTATTTTTTTTTCTTACCCAAAATGTGAAACCGATTGAAATTGAAAGTAACTTGTGCACTTAAAGATATACCACTCTCCATCTTACCAATAAAGTTTGGAGACTCTGTTAATGAGTAAAATTTGACTAATATTTTTGTAATTTCTATAAAAGTTGTGGATTGAAATTGTAAATTTCTTTATTGCATGTATGTAAATTTCATATAATTTTTAAAATATATGAATTTTAAGCTTGCTTTTTTTTTTTTACTGCAATTTGAATTTATTGATGTGATTCCCTTAAAAATTCAAGGGTTAAATAATTTAAGGGGTTTCCTAAGCTATCTTACTAGTAAATTTATGTATGATAATTAAACTTTATTTGACTTTTTGCCGTTCACCTTAATTTAAAACAACGTTTGAATTGACTGATTAATTATATTTTTTTTAATTTTTGACCAAATTATTATTATTTTTTTTCAAATTTTTTGAGAGAAAATTTACGGACAAAACAATTTAAAAATAATTAAGGACTTATTTGAATTATTTTCATAATAATTTATTCATGTATGATGTTGTATGATAATAATAAAAGTATATTATATTTAAAAAAATTATAAATTAATGTATAATAATAACAGATATTTTTGTTTAGATTGATAAAATATTATGTTTGTATATTCAATTAAATTATTTATTATTAATTTAAAATAATATTAAAAAATAATAATTAAGTAAATTATTTAATAAAAAATAAAAAGCTTGGTTAAATATACATAATCTATCTTTTATTTTATTTAAGTCTTTTAAATTACAATATAATACATGTCATTCTGTATTATTGAATGAGAGACTAATTTCTAAGAAGCGAAAGATTTATCGTTTGATCCAAATAACTAATTACCCGTATAATGATCCTTCCACTTTATAATTAATGACAATTAAGAAAAGATAATTTAGGGACTCATTTTGGCATCTTTGAGCCGTCAAGGGGTTGGTGCATTCACGTGATATTTTATATGTCAGCTCTCCCTCTCATCCATTGTTCCCAAACCCCAAATTTCTTCTCTTTCAGACGCAGACATCCATGGATCCTCCACCAACACAGGCCATAGAAGTTTCAACCAAGAATATCCAGTTTGAAGAAGATGAACAAGACAGAGCCATCAACGAATGGTATCTTCTTCTTCCTAATTTTTCTTTCTAAACTCAATTTCATATTCGAAGTTATCAGATTTCTCTATCTCTTTCTCTTTTCCTCTTTTTTTTTTTTTTTTTCTTTTTCCTCTTTTATGCAGCTGTTCATGCTTCTATGACTGCTCGGGGAGCTGCTTCAATTACTTGTGCTGCAACTTTTGCTAGAAAAACACACCTGTCTTCTCTACATCGGAATATTTTTATTTATCTTTAATATATACCGTGGAAATCTTTGAAACTTTACGAATCTAGGTAATTTATGCTTCTTATTATTCTGTATTATCTCTTCTTCTTCTTCTTCTTCTTACTGAGTTGAGAGTCACTCTGCCAAACTCTGTTTTATGTATTTCTCTTCTTACCTTCCTTCCATTTTATATTTATGGAAGGAAGACTATCTTCACTATATTAAGCTCTGAAAAGGTTAAATCATTAGCAGATTTTAGGGTTCAATTTCTTGAATTAGTCTTCAAGAAATGATATTTGAATATCAGAAACAAGAGTTTTTCAAGGATCATGAACTGGGTGTCTGAGATATATTCCGATTTCTTCTTTTTGTTCTTCAAAAAAATGAAATGAGTGGAAACCCAGTTTGTATATCCGATCGATGAGGGTTAGGATGAGATAATCAGAACATTTGAAAAGGAATGAATGGTCTAGAAGTTTGCTTTTTTTTTTTTTGGGACAGAAAGAGAATTCTCAGCTGTAAAGAAAAAGAAATGGAACAATTTGGAATGGAGTCTACCACTTTTTGACGTGTATGTAATTGGGTTAGCCACTAATGAAAACTTTTTTACCCTTTGAACATTTAAGGTTTAATTTAATTGAAATTTTAATTTTATAATTATATATACATACATAAAATAATATTACAATTTTAAGTTAATTTCATTTTTAATATGCAATTTTGTCTTTATAAACAATTTTGATGTGTGGATGAATTTGAACATCACAATAGTGAAGTGGAACTCATACAAAATATTTTTTTTCCTCCAATAATAATAATTTTAAATGAAACTTTTTAAAAAATTAAAGAAATTATTAATTTTTTACTAACATATCTCAAACATTTTAATTACAGTAATTAAGAGCCAGTGTTTTGATTAAAGAAAAGATGTGTCCAAATCTTTAGTTGATGATGGAATATTCAAAAATTTAACATATGAAATAGTAAGTTAAAAAAAAAAAAAGCACATATATCATCAGTCCTACCTGAATTATATAATTAATAATGATAAAAGACTAAATATCTAAATGCGTAATTTTTTTTTCTTAAATTTTATCATTATAAAAAATTAAAATGAAATTATCAAATTATCACATCGTTTGAGAAGATTATAGAAAATAGTTACTTGTAGTTATTTACTAAAATAAAATTATATAAAAAATTAACTAATTAAGTTATGTAGTTCTTTTTTTTTTTGTTTCCTTACGAACCTTTTTGATCAAATTGTATTAATAATTTATTGATATGTTACTAGTTTTTCAAATATAACATAAAATAAAAGTTCAAATCTTAACATAACATCAAATTTCAATAATTGTTTGTCCAAACATCAATTGCACAAACATTTAATACGCACACACACACACAGGATTATCGGTTGAAATCTTGGCATATCATTAGTAGAAAATATATGTGTATATTTTTATATGTGAATGTATTTATGAGTTTTTTCCCTAAAGCCGTGTAACATATATTAGTTATTAAGAATACAAGTTTTGTACAACAACCAACGACTAAAAGAAAATTACACAGCATTAGGAGGAAAAAAAAAAACATCAAACAAAATGGGGATGTTTGTGGTGGTACTCCCTTTCTATCCCACACCCACTTTTACATATCCCCTAAAATTGTGATACGCCCCCCATTATACCATCTTGTCTGCCAATCATTATGTGTTCTTGAGATCCATTTCCATGTGATGTGGTGGTCGTGTGCAGTCTCTCTCAATTGTGGATGTTTGTGGTGCAACCTTTTGGCATAATGGATGTTGGTGAGCGATGGCTTTTTTGGTCTTGATACCCTCATGGTCTTGAGAGAGGTTTATTTCAATGCAAATAAGTTATGGTCTGAGTTTGTGTATGTAATTATGGGCTCATGTCTTGCAATAGAAGTTGTGTGTAAACTTACGAGTATGTTAGATTTAAGGGCTTGTTTTGGGAGCAATCTTTGTGGCTTTCGTGGGATATATTGAGTCAGTTCTCTAATATACAAATCACGCTTTACCTAGTTAGTTATGTGTTGGGAAGTCAGGCTGCCTCATGTGCAATTGGCTATCGTATTATAGTTTGTGTTAGGGCCTTTTATAGATGGAGTGTATGTAACGACTCGAGACATAAAAGGAAATAAACTATGAATTGAATGTGGAAGTGAAATAATAAAGTTAGATTTTATATTGCTTACACAATAACTTATAATACCCAATAAGGTTACTGGAATGACCATTCTAAAAGAATAAATGAAAAATCAAAAAAATAAATGGAAAATAAACAACTTGGTGTCTTATTCGCAACCCTCTTGTGGATCAGGATATTGATCTGAAATGATTAATGAAAGAGTGAGTTACACTAGTACAGTAAGAATGTTACACTACTTACCAGTACAGAAATGAATATTAGTAAAAATCATAAAAACAACTAATAGAGCTTTTAATTTAATTAAATTCATTTATCATAAATAAAATTATTTATTGCATACATACCGTAGTGAGATTTCCAAAACTGACCTATAGAGACAATAACACAAACAATATTATAATCTTATACTCAGTAAACCAGAACAACAACTTTCCTTTTTTATCTGCCTACTAGTATTCATGGGGGTCCATAGGGATATCTCAACTACGCGTGAACCCTTATTTAACTTTGTCAACTAAACCAGCTGTTCTCATACCCCATACAGTATAAGCGCTAAAAATATCATCTCTCAATACCACGTCTGGTATGATGGTGAAACGAACCGTCTCCATATCCTGTTTGATATGAGCGCCAAAATATATCATCCCGCAATACCCAATCTGGTATGAGGCAATATTCACAGTAAGATTCTCTATGTACCTGGTCCATTTACCATCTTCTAGGATATCCATTAAGGCTACCATTCATTCATTCACTTAATCAAGCAATTCATCGTTTATATTTAATTTTTAGTTTTACAAGTTAACTGTAAATTACATAAAACAAGCAACACGTGCATCAATGAAACACAACTGAATCATCTTACCAACTCTAGTATATTATCATGCATTTAAAATTGTAAAATCAATCAATCAATTAAAACAGGATAAACAATGCTAAGTAACCGGTTCCGACTCCATTAGTAACCTGTAATTAATTATCAAAATTTTTTAAATTACGATAATGCCATATTATTTATATTTAGACGTCAATTCTATAATAAGAAATAGGGTGAAGAATTCTTACTCGAATCGATATCCGAAATACTTAGTTTTCAGTTGTGTCTACTGGCGGTTCCCAGATTTTTTAAATTTTTCTTTAGAGGTTAAAACACGCTTCAAGTACCTAGAAATACCTCAAAAAATCCAAAATCGATGTTAAAAATCTTTGACGGCCAATTTCGAAATTCCGATACGGCGGCACTGCCGTGCTCCAACGACGACAATGCCACCCGGACGGCAGTTTGCCTCGAACTTGCTGTTTTCGACTAGTTTTGGCATATTTTGGCTGGTTTTATACTCATCACTGCTAGAAAGCACGTTAAGGAGTCTCGGTTGGCCCAAAAAAATTGA